CCCCTCTTCTCTTCCTCCTGTGGTTCTACATGCTTCTAGGATGCTTCCTTGCATGATGAGGGAGCTTTATGGTATATTGGGTGCCAGTTAGGCAGTTGCACAGTTTCAGGAGAATGAGATTGTCTTGCCAGCTGAAAACCACTTTTATTTATTTCTCCTGCTCTGTGAGTAATGCTCGTCAGGTGTAGCTTACTCTCTGAGCCTATGGAATTAGGTGACTTGGTTCACTAGCACATTCGGTTGTGTTTTAAAAAAAAAATTAAAAAAATAAAATTAGTTTGGGGGGTTTCTTTGGGGTTTTTTGTTTTGTTTTTTAACTCAGAAATAAAATAGGTCTCTAGAAACAGTCTTCTCAGCTCAAAAGCAGCATTTTGCAGCCATGTGCTTTATGCAGCTGTAGCTGACTCAGGTGTGGCAGGGGCGAGCCAGGCCAAGAGACTATAAAACTAGTGTGAGCGAGCCAAACCCTGCCTGTGCATAGGCATTCCCACTTCTGGGAATCTAGGCATGGCTGGCTCCTATAGGAACTGAAATACCGTGTGACTAGTACAGAGTTCACACTTTTTATTTTTCTCCTGAAAGTGATATTTCATGAGGCAAGCAGTTGCAGTTCTGAAATGAGGAGAGAGCTGACATACATTTAACCAAACGGTATCCGGCACCCGTACAAGAGAGTCAGAAAACACAGATAATATCTCACTTAACAAGCAGTATTTTTCCTGCCTTTTTTATTTTTCTTTTTTTTTTCTCAGTTCTAGGGCCTAACAGTTAAGGAAGGTGAAAAAACAGTACAAATGTTTCCACACCTAACATAAAAAGATCCCCCTAGCACCGAGCAGGCTGTGCCACGCTCTGCAAAAGCAGGAAGAGGAGTTTTGCATTTGAGGTTCTTGCTAGGTCCTGGGAAGGTGGAAGGAGTGTATCCTGGGCTGGTATCTCCCACCTGAGAGCCTAGCTCCTGTCCCAGAGCGGCTCTCTTCTCGTCACTGGAGGTTTGAGGTTCCACTAGTGAAAAGGGGATGTGAATTGGGTTGAGACTCTCATCCAGAAAAATGTGTATGTTGCTTTTCTTGCATAACTTCTCCAGTGATTCTAGTGTTTCCATAGGAAACAACCCTTAGGTATTAAATACACCCAACGTTAGTTTGTGAAAGGATAGGACAGAGAATGAGATTTCTGTAAGAAATCCTACCCTGGCTTTCTTTTTAAAAGTCGTAGCTCCAGCAGCACCATCCTGGCATGAACTGAATTGCTCTCAGAACTGAATGGAGATGTTAAAGAAACACCAGGCTACAGTCTTTGGTAGGAATAAAGGATGCATAAAACCTTACTGGGCTGGGCACTTTGTTCCCTTCCTCTCTTTCCTCATGCCTTTAACTATATATTGCTAGGGCAGAGATGAGGAAACTCAAGTAGAGAGAAGTTGAGGCTCTTACCAGGCACCATTGATAGGTTAGGCACGTCTCTGACAATTTTCATACAGAAATGGCAGTGTTTGGACATCTGAGACCATCTTTCAGAGCTTTGGGATGAATTGGGGGACTGTATGATACAGCCTGCAGTTGAAGTTATCTCCATTTATGACTTAACCAAGTGCACCATGAATCAGTGGCAGTGTGAGAAACAGAACTTCAACTCTACATCTCCCTTGCCTTTTTTTTTTTTGATATGTCAGGTGGCTCTTTATAAAAATTAAAAAAAAAAAAAAGACACCCCCCTGCCCCAAGAATAGATTGCATTGTTTATGCTTCATTTCATGAAGCAAAAATATAAAATGGGAATGGAATAAATCTATGGTACTTTGCTCTGTTATGTGACATTTTAATAATTTACCCCAGTACTTGCCACTAGGTGGTTTTTTTTAGCTCCATCCCTTTGACCAGTTATTGTTCTGGACATGCCTGTTAGAAATTAAATGGGAAACTGTTCCCTCCTTTCCCCCACCCCCTTTCCATTTCTAAATTCACTGGCAAAAGGATGTTAGTGAGATTGCATATCTGTAAGATTACCGTGCAGTAGTGAACTTACCATGGTGTAACAATTTAGATGTAGTTAAGGCATGAAATACAAATATCATGCTCTAGAATCCAAGACGCAGAGCTCAACAAATATATCTATTTTAAATCCACTATTTTTACCCTGCCTTTTTGCATGCAGGGATTTCTCGATCATGTGTAACAGGAAGAAATCAAATTATATGAAATGAGTCATTAAAGTCAAGTTTACTAAGTTTTCTTAACTGCAGCCTCCTGCAAAGAGGGAAGCGTACCAGATCTCTGGCTTCTGCCCCACCAAGTCCGTGAGGCTAGTCTGATTCATGCCACCTGGGCAAACGGCTATTAATTTAACAAGCAGAAGATTGATATCTGCTTAGTGAACCAAACAGTTCACCATAAACTGTGAAAGTACTGATCTACTAACAGGTTTCTATTCCAAAAGACTGCTTTGACTTATCTTCAAAGCATCCTACGTAGCTTGCTTATTGTAGGTTGCCTAATTACACACTAAAAAAGTTTGGATTTTGTTTGCTATCTGTTATCTCATAGGTCTGATATGATGTGTTTATATTGGTTTGTGGCCAAAAAAGCCTTCAGGTTTTTAGGGTAAGCGCTCTTCTGAATCTAGACTAAGTCAAAGCATCAGCTTCCGTTGTTGTAACTGGGAGCACAGTTTGAACCTTGGAAGATGCAGGTGGCTTTTGATTGCCATTACTTTTTAACAAATTTCCTTAACGTACATGTAGTGTCAAGAGAGCTGATTCTGACCAGACTGCCTCTTGCCCTCTGATTAAACTTCTGGGTTTTTTGGTTTTGTTTTGTTGGGGGGCAGTGTTGAAAAAGCTGAAATATTTCAGCTGTCTCTCCTCATCCATTCATCCTATCTGTAAGAGATACCTCAGCTTAGCAGAATGGGACTTGCATTGGAAAGTTGCTGGCAGTTCTTTAAGTTCCTTACATCCCGTAAATATAGTGCAGAAAACTAAAGGAATAATTAAATAAGGAGCTAAACAGTGAATGGCAAAAACTCTTTTAATGAACTTACTTCCTGCTTTTACTTTCCTCTGCTGTAAAATTCATAGTCCTTCACTTCCATTTACGCAATCCACCTTCGCTCTTGTACTCGCATCCAGTGAGTGTGATTTTACCCATGTAAGAACACCCCGCAGAAGCTGGAGATAGGAGGGACCTTATGAAATCGTCTAGTCGGTCCCTCTGCCAGTGCAGGACTGTTCCTTTGTTACCCTCAAGTCATCTGGCTGCAGATTTAGATGGTTCACCTGATGCCGCTCCCACCACTGCTGCTCAGAGATTATTCCCCAGTCTGATAGATGCATCATTAAGAAATGCAGTCACCCACTCATTTCGTTCATTGAAACCTAGATTTGTGCAAACAACCCAACCCAGCTAATTTGGAAGATGACTTAAACCTACTTGTCATTTCCCCCCCGTCGTGATCAGTATAGATCAGAAAGCACGATGCTTTGCTCCATCCAGGAGGTTGGGAGGAAACCGTTTTCTTCTTTCAGGTCAAATCCATAACTGGCATCACCAGACTGTTGTCAGTTAAGTAAGTTATATTCGTTTTAATTTTTCCTTTTCTGAGAAGTGATTTCAGAATTAATTAATGTTTGTGTGTTAATGAGGGAATTCTCATTAGAAAAAAAACATTAATTTGCTAGGCCTTTGTGCCATGAAATTATTGCCCTTTCTGGCATGCTGATTGCCACGAGATATCTAATAGAGTGCATCAGTGTAAAATGGTAACATCTCCATTTTGGAGACAAAGGTCTTATGTGAACACTACTGAGTTCAAATCCTGCTCTGGGCCTATTCCATTCTTTGCTATTAATGCAAAGATCAGCCTTTTAGTAGTAGTTGATGAAACTAATCACTTAGATAATTCTTTTGGCAGTTGTTTCCAAAGCATGCTTTTGTTACAGATGTGTGAAGTCATTTTAAAAGAAGTTCTGCAAGGCAGGGATAGTACTGTGGGCAGGACATGTATGCTGTGACTGAGAGCTAAACCAAGAAACCTCACCGTTTCTGGAAGTGCAATACTTAGCAAGAGTTATTTTCCTTATTGTATTGCATTTGACACTAAAACAGTTCCATAATACTTATAACACACTAAAGCACCAGACTGTTTTCTTCTGCAAAACCTTGTGTACACAAGATACTGGGGTTTGTTTCCTCTTTACAAATAAGAGACCATAAAACCCTCGAAGTCGTGTTTTGACTGACCTCTGCTAATTGTCCATGTTTTAGGAAGTCCCAAGAGCTACAGGCACTTAATTACCTGTAGGCACAAGGACCAGCCAAAGCTTGATCTGTGGGTATTAGTGAAGCTCGCTGAAGATGTAGCTGAATTTTTAGTTGGACATAAAATTTTATTTTTTGGGTAGTTCTGTTAGAGCCCCAGAATACTTGTGTGTTAGACTTCACTATGTCACTGAAGCAAATCCGGATGTGCTCTCAAGGAGCATTTGTGGAAGCAAGAAGAGTTTTTACAAAGGAGGACCATTTGATAACCTTTGTAATCTGTCAGTCTACATTGGCTAAACTGGATCTTCTGAACGTAGCAGCTGAAAAATATCCACGTGTGTTACAAATATCCAGAAGGATAAGACTGATAACTGTGTATCCAGACTTCAGTAAATTTGGAAGAGACATTGGCCATGCATTCTTTTCACAAATATAATTCCCCTGTATTCAAAAGAAGCTTTCTCTGTGGGACAGCAGGTTTTGGTCCTGAAAATGTCATGCTTTTAGTAGTGTTTAGGGTTTTTGTTAAGTTTTATTTGGTTTGTTGTTCCTCTTACAGTATTATTTGAAAATGAGGCTACTCTGATGACTCACTGATGCTACTTCCTTCACTACTAGGAAAGGAAAGTCCTCCAATTAGTGATGTCCCAGATGATGGAGATGAACCTATGCCTGTACCAGAGGACCTTTCAACTAGTACCGGAGGACAACAGAGTGCTAAGAATGAGAGAGTCTTGGGTAAGATGACTAGTCCACTCTGATAAGAAATATTAGTACATAATATAATATGCCAATAAGGTTAAAGTACTATATAGCAAGCTGGTATACAAGCAGGTCCTGCGCCTTTCCGTCTTGTTCAGCACAGGATTACTCAGGTGCTTAGTGTTTTTTGTGCAACCTCCTCTTTGGGAAAGGCGTTTCGAAGGACAGCAAGCCTTTTCATCCACAGAGAAGTTATAAAGATCCTACTATTTATCTTCTTTCTAAAGCATGACTGATTGCATGAAATTCTCCCCAGGAAAGATGGTTTTCATTCTGCATAGGAAATAGAATTAAATACGTGGTTCCAGGTCAAAATTATCTGAACTCAGATTTGATAAAAGTTCAGTAAACTCTCAGGTATTTTTATCATTATTTTTATTATTAATTTGAATGCTATCTTGAATGTTATCTGCTATTCAGATTTCTCCAGAAATGCCACATTAGAACACACATAGTATTCATATGTTTCAGATTCCAACATCTGATCTTCATTTACCCTTGACTTTTTTAACTGGGAGAACTTTAGAAAACACTTGAATTTTGTTCTTCTAGGTAAAAGTCCACAACTGATAAAGTCTGTTGGATTAAAATAAATTATTGTCCACAGATGATTTTGCAATGCTGATTCTTCTTAGGGATCCCAGACTCCACACCAAGGACTAGCAATGTAGCTGACTACTGCATGCATCAGCTCACATGTAGTCCACTAAAAAAGACTAGACAATATTACTTGAGCACGATGCTTCTTTACTAGTAGGGGAAAAAAAGCAAAAAAAAGGCAAAAAAAAAAGCACAATGACTCCCAGAATGCTGTGATCAATGCCCTATATGATAAAAATATTTCAGGAGAGGAGTGACTATCAAAATATGTTTGTTTATCCACAAATAAAAGTATTGCTCATCATTTTTACATTCCTATTGTAAGAATGAGGTTCAGGGTGGAAGACTGTTTACACAAAGATTGCAAGTGCTTTTAAATGTTTGTTGTCTAAGGAAGTTCAATAAAGGATGGTAGGTGGAAAGGGAGGCACAGAAGGCAAAATAACCAGGTCAAGGTAATACAGCAGGATGGCGTCAGCATTAGGAATAGAGCCTACTCCCAAACTCCAGCACTAGCTAGTAGAGAATGCAGCATCTTATGCATCTTCACTTTATTTACTGCTTGATCCCCTCTTACCAAAAATGTGAGCGTAAAGTTCAGCTCCTACATGCATATTGACATACCTTATGAACAAATTAAGTTTTAAAAATGTTTTTTAATAATCTGATCACTTATCTAGTGCTTTATTTCTCAGTCCAAAGCTCTTTGGACAAAATCTTGCCTCTGCTGCTTGTGTATCAACTCAGTAAAATGAGTTACGCCTCCTTTCTCCCACAGGAACTAAACCCTACAAAATATTTAAGCCTTGATTTAAAAAATAATAATAATTAAAAATAATCCCTTCTTCAAACCCAAACAAACTCACAGAATTTTTGATTGCATTGAATTTATTTCACCTCACAAATATCATACAGAACCAGCAAAGATGAAATTTACATTTGCTGATGATGTAACGATTCTCCCAATAGTTCAATTATATATCAATATAAACACATATTAAAAGTTACTGTAATAAATGAAGGAGAAAATGTTATCTTTGGTGTCCTAAATATGATAAGTTCCATCTGTTGTTCTCATTAGTTTTACTTTGTGCACTCAACAATAAATTAGATTTTCCATGTGCTGACTTCAACATTTTTTCTACAGCCACTTTCTCTACCCATAGCTCTTCGGTTTTGAAGGGTCACATTTTGTAGGGAGACATTTACCATAGTGAACAGAAACAAAGACAATTCACAGTACTCTGTTTTATGGATGATCTTAACTATAGGCATCAACTTCAGTGCTTGCAATGTTTGTCTTTTCTGTAAAGCTGCATTCACTCTTACCTCTTCTAACTACTCCTTTTTCTAGCCCTAAAATAACGGTTTGAAAACAGTGTACTGAAAAAGTTAATTCTCCTTTTTTACAAAAAGGATCTGAACTCATGCCCCAAACATACCAGGAGCTGTATGATTGCTATGCACATTCTGGATCATCATCAAAAGAAAATCTGTGCCTTAGGAGTGGTGTTTGGCCTATATGATGCCATAGAAGTATTGGGGATGAAGGGGACTCTCTTTCTATGTAGACAGTGGCATGGCAGTGTAGACAGGTTTGGTGTTCAGTGCAACGCTATCATCTCTAAGTCCCAAGATCTGTTTCTCACCTCTATTTATCACCAAACTTAGGTAGAAAAGGACGATCTGAAAAAGTTGTTTGAAGAACAATAGATAGTATTGTAAAGCCCCACTGATATTATATATATCTCGTAGCTGGGAGATAGACTGTGGCCTATGATAACTGACAGGTAATGCACATGAGCAGATACGACCAGGCAACAATTTTTCTCTATATGACTTTACTAATGTCCCATCTGCTTCCTTCGTCAAAAGGGAATCCCCTGTGCACTTTGCTGTATTTCAATATGATTTATAGTGCGTTCCACTTAATCTGTAACGCCCTGAGAGATCAGCTGTCCATACGGCATGCACTGAGGAAGGGTAATTTGAGTCAGACGTTTATGGAAGATGGCCACTAGGCTCTGGAGGACTTTTTTGTACATGTAGTGTTATAGAGGTAACAATGGAAATTGCAGGTTTGTTAAATGAAAAGAGTAAGTATTTGCCTCATCTTACTAAAATTAGGTGAGAAATCTGTTTCTAATTTTAATCAGCCTGTGAGATAGAAATGTTCAAATGACCATTTCAGGTTTGTAGTAACACTTCATGAAACTTTTAACCCTGGAGTCAAAAGTTTAATTACCATTTTCATCAATTTAGCATTTTAAACATCAAAGATGAGGGGAAATAAGCTATTTTTAGGAAAGAAAGATAGGCTCTAGCTCCTCTGCGTGTTTTCAAAAATCTCCTTTCTTGCTTCTTCCAACCTTAGACTGAGACTTGAACGTGGTGCTATAAACCTGATAGAGAGAACCATTTGAAACATCTCTCCCGCTCTGAGAATGAAAGTGTAGTAGACTTCAGTAGTTAAAGTACTCAATTCACTTGCCAGATCTTATTGGGTGCCTTCAGATTTTGAGTGTCTCAGTTAAAATGGCTAGAGAGGGTGCAAATTTCATAAAGGGGGTGTCCAGAGGTTCATGAAAGGTATGCTTTGACTTGTGTCCCCAGAGAGAGACACCCAAGATATGGCTTGCTTCTGACCAATGCAAAAATAATGAGCAGTGTGAAAAGGTCATTTGTGGAAGTAAAGGCATCAGCAGTTTGTAGTAATAACCCCAAGCAGCACAGCAAAGCAGAAACATATTAAAAGACATGTTCTGGTCACTGCTATGTCTCTTCATTTCCTTGATGAGCTTGCTATGTTTTTAATGTTGTAACTCCCAGAATGCCACTATGTGTTGAGCAGCATCCTCCTGCAAACTTCATTTCTGGTGCTCTGTCCACTAGACCTTCTTCCTTCCTTGTCCTCTTCTCCACCCCAAGTTTCCTTCTCAGGCTGATCTGGCACCTATAACTTTTTTATTATTTTATTTTTTTACTCTGCTCGCCCCCCTGCTCTACATTCAGTTTTCCTAGAAACACAGGGAACGTTTTCAGACAATCAAAGAACTAGATTCTCACAGCTCTTTAAGGCACTAGAGACTCTGTTTTACCATCTCTCCTAAATATCCTTTTGAAATTTTGATCTAAGTTATTTAGAAATACACATCCCACTGAAATTCCATTCCATTAAGAATTAGTGCTTTGCAGCCTATTTTGGATGGGCAGCCCTATTTCCCATGCTAACCTATAACATAGGAGCTGATGTGAAATATCTTCTGCTGACTCTTACTGACTCCGTTCCAGTTTTGAGTTAAATGTTGTGTGCACCTTTTGTGGATAATCAGTGCTGAACATCCTGTACGTGGTAGACGGTTGCACTTTAGGGCTGTTTCTGCCCTGGGACTGTATCCTAATTCAAGCCATGTGTGGGAAGCTAAAGATTCAGTGAGCTGTAGGTCAGACCCTACTTCATGCAGAAAAAGCCATTTGCTGCAGTGGTAGCATTTGCCTAGAAAGTCAAGCAGTACCTTCCTTTATCCGTAACTGCCCATATCGTAGCTGGCCATCGATGGGTAAAAAACAAAAAGCCATCTCACAGTGTTACTGGCCTCAGAAAGAGGCTGTGGGCTCACCATTTCTGCACAGGCAGCTGTCTGATGCTGAAGATGACCATTTAGACTTCCAACACAGAAGTCAAGGGTTTCTCACTGAAAAAAGTGATCACCGCCATAGTCGCAGATTACAGTCTGGACCTGGAATAAATAATGCGTACAGATATTATTCTTTCTGAGGGGAAGAGGTGGGGAGAACTCCTCTCACAAAATTGGGTTGAAACTGTTGGACAACTGGCAGAAGATGTCCAAAGTAACAAGTCAAGGTGATCCTGGACATCAACAGAAGACAGACGAGATTTATATGAAGTTAGAAACTCTCTATTTGTTTAAAATAAAGGACACTAGTATGGGAAGAGACGTTAAAAGGAAAGAGCTTTTTGACATTTTTCTCATCCGGTGGGAAATGTCAAGTGACTGATGTTACCTCCCTCCCACAACCCTGTCACTGAAGCAGAAGCCTGTGTAGCTGCAGAGCCTCGGTGCCTGGCATCACTGGGAACCTGGGACTGCCTTCACATCCTGGGGTCTTCCCTCCTGGCCATGGGCATTCAGAGGTGGTAACCTGCACGAGTAGCTAGTTACTGGTGCAGGCAAGTGTCCTCGCTCTGAGCTGCTTCAGTGCTTTATTTCCTTAAAAGGAGCTCAACCATTTGAGACCACGGACACAAGCATTGCCGAGGGGCCACTAGGCCAACCACAACAGCTTGCCATTACATCAATCTGCCGCAACTCACATATAGCTGGGTGGAGGCAGAGTAAAAGTGTGGAAAGGCT